TATATATATATGGTTAGGATGGATTTTCTCAACTTTAAAAGATCCAACAATAAGAATCACAAGAAATTAAATTGGATATGGAATTTATTAGAAAAAAACTTAAGACAAAAAACGTATGGTAGATGATCGAATTTCTTTGTAGAGAATATAATAAACAGATCAAACTAAAATTATCCCGAACGCCTCAAAGTTAGAAATATAGCATATGCTTAAATGAATAGATTGGTTCATATCCAAACTCATTACCACATACCTCTTAACTTGGATCGTACCGCGGAAATTTCATATCAAATCAACTCGGAATTCAGATTACAAAACACAAATATGATAGCTAAATATACACGTTTCAATGTTGAAAGTTTGATCTATTTTGTTAGGGATCATGTATTTGAGTTTGTATCATCATATATATCTTAAGCCAAAAAATAAGTATATAGTTATATATACATGGTTTGTCTTCATGTGGTACGTGCGTATTTTGAAAGATAATATACTCGATTCTTATCTTATAATAAAATGGTAAATCGCTTTAAGAAAACCGCATTGAATAAAGCGATCTAAAGTCGGCGAACTACTGCGTCAAGCGGCAAACGGGCTAAAAATAGGAGAGAGTAGCATGCGACGGCATCATAAATTATTCATGAAATTTAGAAAGTCGGCAACGTGAATGATCCCCTTTTTTCCTTATGAAGAAATTCTTATTATATGGATAATGGCCATACGAATGACTCTCGACTCTTGTGGCGGACCCCACTTTTCGCAAAATGCAAAAAGAAATTTAAAAAAAAATGTATTTTCCGTGGTTCGACCGATCATATTACAGTTCGAGTAATTCGATTGGATCTCCTCCTACGACCGATGATAAAGTTAAGTTTAACATCAATTATATATATATATATATATAGATATAATGCAAACTATATGTATATCAAGAACATATTATTCTCTCTTTTTCAACGAAAATGTTGTATATATCGTTACAGAAGAATTTAAAATCTGCTAATATAGTAAGCATGCATGGTTCAATTATACGAATATCAATTTTTTTTTAAAAAAAGAAACCATATTTACAAAACGCATTATATCAGCAAAAAGTTTAGCAGGCACATCAATCGTTATAGGTCACAATTAATAATTGCAGATTTGGGGATATGTGGTTGTGCATTGTTTTTTTTTTTTAAATACTAAAACCGATAAGAATATAAATCTATGGAAATACACTTTTATTGTAAAGAAAGACGGCATTAAGTAAGGGCAAGTAGTGGTCGACAAATTCAAGATATTGGGCTTGGACTGTTCTATTAGAATAAAGACTGATTATTCAATACAAATTCAAAAGGGTCTTTCTGGGATTGTTTAAACATCGAGGGGGAAAGCTTTAGAAAGTCAAGGATGAAATCGCAAAAAAAAAAAAAAAACATAAAGTAGTCAAAGTATACACATTGGATTATTTTATGATTTGGGTTTGTACGTCCAAGCAAATTGCTGTTTATATTTATATATGTGTATATATATGTATATATATTGACATTGGGCCTGAGAAGCTATGATTAGGCCGATGGGCCATTTAATTTCAATGCAGAAAGTAAAAGAAAATATTCGCCATAAGGAATTTTTCGGCCCATTAGGCCCAATACATTTCAAATGTTTTTTTTTTTTTTTTTTTTTTACCAAGATCCTTCATTTTTTTATTTATCAAAACAGCAAGGTCCCAGACATCGAGATGGTCAAATTTTGAGAATCGAATTGAATATTGGAGGTTGATGGTAATTATTAATTTAGGGTGGGACAGCTAAATTCCACCAAAGAATCAGAGCCCAAAGTAGTTCCATGGTGGGGCGGGCCCACACCATTCGATTTAGAACACCTTTTTTTTTAAGACAAATGTCAAAGTTATATATACGGTCAAGCTTATTAGGTTTATCATAAGACGAATAGGACCAAACATGTAATAATGAGGGATTTACTGTATACGGAGAAAAGGGAACGTGGAACCGCAAGACATTAATTACATATGATGGGGCAGACGGATGGATATTGATGTACCGTATACGTACGTATTCAGACCACGTACAAATATATGCTTTCATAAATATAATCTACATATCGATTTTGAAATGAATTCTTGAAATTTTATCTTATCGAGTCAATTCGAACTAATTTTTCCTATATTTATTAGTTTTATAAATTTTATCTTCTGTACCTTTTAATGGAATAATAAATATTAGAAAACCTGACATACATTACCAAAACCATAACCGCATCTGTTATTAATACAGCTCGGAAAATCTATAAGTTATCTTTGCTCATGCAGATTTATATTTAATTAAAACTTTAAGCACCACAGATAATTTTTTTTCAGAGGAGAAATGAAAACCCACCTGTGGATTTTCGTGGCAGCCTCGTTCGTGGTCGGCGTCTTGTCGTTGGATAAACCAGTTCTGAATTACGAGTCCATATTCAACTTTGGTGATTCCTTAAGCGACACCGGAAATTTCCTAATCTCCGGCGACAAGCCATTTCCGGTGGTCGGAAAACTTCCGTACGGCGAAACCTTCTTCAACCGCCCCACCGGTCGTTACTCCGATGGGCGTCTCATCATCGATTTCATCGGTAATCTCATTTTAAATTAATTATGACAAAAACAGGACCAAACTGCACGAAACAAAAGTAACGGGGCACAAAAGTCAAGTCACATAAGATTTCGTGATGGGTTATGGAAATGCAGCTGAAGCGAGTGGACTGCCGTACCTTCCGCCGTACCTCGAAGGCGTACGGACGAATTCTTCCGTCGATTATGGGAAAGGAGTGAATTTTGCGGTGGCCGGAGCGACCGCCCTCGACAAAGACTTCTTGGAACGGAGAGGTCTTCCAATTTCTTTGGACACCAACAAATCTCTGGACGTTCAACTCGCCTGGTTCAAGAATCTGAAGCCCTCTCTTTGCAAAACAAAGCAAGGTCAGGATATATACACACACACACGCACATATATATATAACGTGTATATATTATATTTTTAATTGTAATATGGTGTTTTCTATGGGTGTAGAGTGTGATGGATATTTCAAGAAATCGGTATTCTTCGTCGGGGAGATTGGTGGGAACGATTATAATTATCCTCTTCTGCTAACCGGAACCTTTAAACAAACTATGGACCTCGTCCCCCTCGTTGTCCAGAAAATCATCAACGTCACGAGCGTACGTTTTCATCAACATTAATATCCACCGCATGCATGTACACACACATATATATGTGCGTGAGATGGTCCATATATATATATATATATATGTGTGTGAATTTGAATGTGTGTGTATATATAGGAGTTGATAGAGGAAGGGGCGATGACGGTGGTGGTGCCGGGGAATCTGCCGATAGGGTGCATCCCGGCGTTCCTGACGAGGTTCCAAAGCGACAAAGGATGGCTTTACGACTCGAGGAACCGATGCTTCAAGCCTCTCAACACTCTCTCCAAATCTCACAACGATCAGCTCATCAAAGGTCTTGATGCTCTAAGGACCAAATATCCTCAGGCCACTATCATTTACGCCGATTATTACAGCGCTGCCATGCAGTTCTTCAACTCTCCTCTCAAATTCGGTCCGTATCCATCTCTATATCTATTGATTTGATGAATGTGAGATCCTATCCATCAAATGACTCCAAAAGAATGGTTATGGCGATATCATGTATATTATAACTTCTCTCGTTTTTTCTTCCGACCAAGATAAACAAATCTTCCATTAGTTAGATAAATCAATGGTAAATATTATCGTTTAGATTATAATTTTTTTATACATTTTAAAATGATATTGTATGTTTTTTTTTTTGGATTAAAGGTTTCTCCGGAGGTGTTCCCAAGGCATGTTGCGGAACCGGAGATTGCGACGCTGATTGGGCTGGAGACCAAAAGGATCGAAAGTCAACCACGGGTTATTGCACATTCGTTGGAGGCAACTTGGTTACATGGAAGAGCAAGAAACAAAATGTCGTTGCAAGATCGAGTGCAGAGGCGGAGTATCGTGCAATGGCAAAAACAACTCAGGAACTCGTATGGATCAAGGGTCTTCTCAATGATCTCGATATTAACATCAAGGTGCCGATCACACTTCACTCGGATAATCAAGCCGCCATCCATATAGCAGCCAATCCGGTCTTCCATGAACGAACTAAACACATAGAGGTAGACTGTCATTTTGTGAGAGAAAAGGTACTTCAAGGTGTTATTGCAACCTCATATACGAAGAGTGATGACCAACTCGCAGACGTCTTCACCAAAGCCACAAGCGCCAAGATTCAAGATAGAACATTCTCCAAGCTTGGACTCGTAGATATCTACAAGAACAAGCTTGAGGGGGAATATTGCAATGTCTAGAAGAATGAAGATCGTACAACTACTCATAATTGTGGGCCTTGGATCCATTAAGCCCAACCCACTCTTCATCCAAGCATGAGCAACGTCTACTGAAGTTTATATGCAATATTCATCAGATCAATTACGCGTACTTTTCCCTGCTAACGTCTAGAATCTTCCTTCTGGGTTTAGGATAGTTTCCTTTATTTATTTGTACAGATTTATTTTCCTTTCTATTTTGCTATTTTCCTTTTTCATTCCATCTTGTAATTCTTATTTAGTCTGTATAGTCTTCCTATGAAATACATACGAGAATTTCATGTTCATTCTCTTCAAAAGCTTCTGATCTTCATTCTCTACCCAACCATGGCTATCTAATCAAGCCTAAATTGGTTTATTTTTTCCAGAATTCTCACCCTAAAGAACATGGTATCAGAGCCTGTGCGGTTCTAAAGTGTTTTTTTTTATTCCCAAAAAATCTCCACACCAAAACCTATCACAAAGTGTCGCCTTTCGCAGATCTGATATTCTCAGCATCATTTTTTTCCTCTCGTTTCCAACCACCATGGATGCCTCCTACACCAAGGTTATCCCAATTACTCTCAATGGAGACAACTATCTAAGTTGGTCCCGATCTGCAAAAATGCTTCTCAAAAGCAAGGGGTTATGGGAGCATTGTGTAACCCACAAAGAAATTCCGACAGATGGTTCTAGGGAACTCACGGCCACAGAGAAAAAGTGGCTACAAGATGATCATACGGTGTGTGCTATTCTCCAAAGTTCTTGGTCAGAACCAATTATCAAATCATTCAATCAAATCGAAGAAGCAAACACACTTTGGGAGACTCTCAAAGAAGTCTATGGGAATGTGTCCAATGTTAGCCGCCTGTATGAGGTAAAACGTCAACTCTACTCCCTTAAACAAGAGGATCAGCCTTTCAATGTCTTTTTGGGCGAGTTTACTGCGTTGTGGTCAGAATTTTGTGAGTTGCAGCCTCCTCCAACCGACACGACCGAGCTGAAGAATCATGAACGGGATAGAGTGTTTACTTTACTCTTTGCACTTAATAGTTCCTACAAGGATCTTATTCAGACTCTTATCCGTGAGAATACGTTACCATCATTCTCTGAAGTTTGTGCAAAGATAAAGAAGGAGGAGGGAAGTAAGAAGTTGTTTCACGGATCCATTGATCTTGCTCACAAGGCTATGTCTTGGAACTTTGGAGACCGAAAGAACTTCTCTTCCGGTAAGCACAACCATGTTCCCTCGTGTGTTTATTGTAAGAAACGAGGTCACAACAAAGACCAGTGCTGGATTTTACATCCTCACCTAAGAACCCAAAGGGTGGAGGTTCCGAAAAGATCAATAGAATCAGCCCACATTGGGACAGAAAACGTCGAGACTACTCATGGAACAAACAAAGCCGGCACTACATACAGTTCAGGTCCCACCTCTTCCAATAACGATTACGTGAAGAAGTCAGATTTGGATGCTTTGATGAACCAAATCCAAAAGCTGATCTCCACCAAAGAAACTCAAGACTTTGGTAACATCTCATTCTCATCTTTTTCAATAAATGATTTCATCATAGACTCGGGTGCTAGTAATCATATGATATGCAATTCTAAAATGCTTAAAGATATTAGACATGCAAAGGGAACCATCACAATTGCTAATGGTGAACACGTGGATATCATGGGAATTGGACTGTTGAGTTTTTGTGGAAAACAAACCGAGGCGCTTTTTGTTCCGAAGTTTAGACACAATCTTCTATCGGTACATAAGTTAGCTAAAGATCTACATTGTCATGTTTCTTTTGAAACTAATCGTGTTTTGTTTCAGGATATTGAGACTCATCATGTACTAGCCGAAGGACAAGTCAAGCATGGCCTCTACATTCTTAATGAATCATGTCATTTAGATGTCGCTATGAATGCTATGTGGCATGCTCGGCTAGGCCACCCACATTATCAAGCACTCAAACTTATATTTCCTCATGTTTCGTTTTCTCATAATAATTGTGAAGCATGCATTCTAGGAAAGCATTGTAGAAGTGTATTTCCTAGTTCTCATACAACGTACAATAAATGCTTTGATTTAGTTCATTCGGATGTATGGACATCTCCTTGTCTTTCTCGAGATAATAATAAGTATTTTGTTACCTTTATCGATGCGAAATCAAAGTACACGTATCTAACCCTTCTTAAATCAAAGAAGGATGTTTTCGAGGCTTTTAAAAATTTTCACAGGTACATCATCACACAATACGAAGCGAAAATCAAGTGCCTTCGAACCGATAACGGTGGAGAATATACGAGCAAGGAATTTGAAGCTTACCTCTCATTACATGGCATTGAACACCAAAGCTCATGCCCTTATACACCACAACAGAACGGTGTTGCCGAAAGAAAGAATCGTCACCTCATGGAAGTCGCTCGAGCCATGATGTTTCATCGTGGAGTACCTAAACGCTTTTGGGGTGATGCTGTAACAACAGCATGCTACTTAATCAATCGCATACCTACTAAATGCCTTGCGGATAAGTCTCCCTTTGAGGTACTTAACAATTCTAAACCATCAATTGATTTTCTAAAAACCTTTGGTTGTGTTTGTTATGTTAAGGTTCCAGATGATCAACGAGATAAGTTAGACCCCAAGAGTTTGAAGTGTATCTTTCTTGGTTACACTACAAAGCAAAAAGGCTTCAAATGCTTTAATCCTACAACCGGTATTCTTCGTGTCTCGGCGGATGTAAAATTTTTTGAAGACCAAGGATACTACGACAAACAATCTTGGGACACCTTTGGTGAGTTATTCTCTACTAGTTCATCTACAGATTATACTAACACTCTCAGGTTTATGTTAGACACATCGGATGAACACATGTCTACTAATGGGGACACAATGGACATAGTAGCTGAAAGGGAACATGGAGCAGCCGACAGGGGGAATACACATGGCATCATAACAAATAGGTATGATTCCCTTGATAATAGGATAAACGAATCAGAAAATGCACATGGACAGGATCAAGAAGCAGAGCCATTACGTGAGGAGGAAGAAATTACTGATTCAAGAGGAGAATATTATGACAGTATTCCATTGAGAAGAAGTACACGAACCAGGAAACCTATTTCGACAGGGTGGAAATATCAAGAATCCAATGCAAATGCGGTAGCTCATCCAATTCAATCTTTTTGCTCTATTTCTCATCTTCCCACTAACCACTATGTGTTCTTGAGCAAAATAGATCAGAATGTTGAACCACAAACATACTACGAAGCTAAAGACATTGAAGAATGGAAAGAGGCTATGCTGGAAGAAATAATGGCTCTCGACAGGAACCGAACATGGGATATCGTCACACTGCCTCCACACAAAAAGGCGGTTGGATGCAAATGGATTTACAAAATCAAGTACAATAGCAATGGTGATATTGATCGCTATAAAGCACGATTAGTTGCTAAAGGCTTCACCCAAACATTTGGAGAAGATTATACAGACACATTCGCTCCGGTGGCTAAACTTCCCACGGTAAGAATCATACTATCTGTTGCTACTAATCTCAAGTGGGCTCTTTGGCAGATGGATGTGAAGAATGCTTTTCTCCAAGGAGAACTTGAAGAGGAAATTTACATGAAGCTTCCTCCTGGCTTAGAAGATAAATGCGGTACAGATAAAGTATGCAAACTTAACAAGGCTATATATGGGCTCAAGCAATCACCCAGAGCATGGTATCATAAACTCAGCCTAGCCCTCACCTCACATGGGTTCATTAGAAGTGAATCGGATCACTCTCTATTCACGTGCAAACGTGGCTCAGGTATTATTGTTCTACTCGTGTACGTTGATGATATTATAATTACAGGTAGTGATGACCAAGGAATTGATGCCACTAAAGACATGCTCAAACATACATTTGATATTAAAGACCTAGGTGAATTAAGGTATTTTCTTGGTATAGAAATAACTCGATCAAATGACGGGTTGTTTCTATCACAAAGGAAATACGCACTTGATCTTCTTGATGTTTCAGGAAAAATTGGAGCAAAACCAGCACAAACACCTATCCAAGAAGGCTTCAAGTACCAACGATGGTATCAAGAAGAGGGGGAACCGCTCGCACCTAATGATGCCGAACAATATAGAAGACTCGTAGGTAAGCTCATTTACCTAACAATTACTCGACCTGATTTATCCTTTGCTGTGAAACAGGCTAGTGAATGTATGCATGAGCCAACCACAACAAGCTGGAGATTGGTTGAACACATACTCAAATACCTCAAAGGCACACCGGGCAAAGGTATTTGGATGAGTTGCAATCATCATACGGAGGTTGTTGGATATTGCGACGCTGATTGGGCTGGAGACCAAAAGGATCGAAAGTCAACCACGGGTTATTGCACATTCGTTGGAGGCAACTTGGTTACATGGAAGAGCAAGAAACAAAATGTCGTTGCAAGATCGAGTGCAGAGGCGGAGTATCGTGCAATGGCAAAAACAACTCAGGAACTCGTATGGATCAAGGGTCTTCTCAATGATCTCGATATTAACATCAAGGTGCCGATCACACTTCACTCGGATAATCAAGCCGCCATCCATATAGCAGCCAATCCGGTCTTCCATGAACGAACTAAACACATAGAGGTAGACTGTCATTTTGTGAGAGAAAAGGTACTTCAAGGTGTTATTGCAACCTCATATACGAAGAGTGATGACCAACTCGCAGACGTCTTCACCAAAGCCACAAGCGCCAAGATTCAAGATAGAACATTCTCCAAGCTTGGACTCGTAGATATCTACAAGCCCAAGCTTGAGGGGGAATATTGCAATGTCTAGAAGAATGAAGATCGTACAACTACTCATAATTGTGGGCCTTGGATCCATTAAGCCCAACCCACTCTTCATCCAAGCATGAGCAACGTCTACTGAAGTTTATATGCAATATTCATCAGATCAATTACGCGTACTTTTCCCTGCTAACGTCTAGAATCTTCCTTCTGGGTTTAGGATAGTTTCCTTTATTTATTTGTACAGATTTATTTTCCTTTCTATTTTGCTATTTTCCTTTTTCATTCCATCTTGTAATTCTTATTTAGTCTGTATAGTCTTCCTATGAAATACATACGAGAATTTCATGTTCATTCTCTTCAAAAGCTTCTGATCTTCATTCTCTACCCAACCATGGCTATCTAATCAAGCCTAAATTGGTTTATTTTTTCCAGAATTCTCACCCTAAAGAACACGGAGGACCGTACAACTTCAACTTCGCCATGGGGTGCGGCCGCAACGGCTCGACGGTTTGCCAAAACCCGTCGGCTTTTGCCAGCTGGGACGGCATCCACCTCACCGAGGCGGCTCACCGCCACATCGCCGCCGGTCTCATCTCCGGCCGTTTCACCCGACCTCCTCTCATCAACCCTAATTCAACCCTCTAAGTCCCTACAAAAATGTGTTGCCGTACCAACACGTAATTACGCAAAGAGTCGTGTATGTCAACTTTTATGTAACCAATAAGAATTTTCTAAAGTCTAAAATGGGTGGTTTTTCATATTATTCGTTTATATAAAAAGAAAAAGAAAAAGAAAAAGACAAATCTCGACGTGACTTTGTCGCATCAGTTATGGCATGAATCAAAAATAAAAATACGGTCCATTTTTTAAAAGAATCAACGCATATTAGAAGTTGCAAGTCAACACAGAGTTTCAAATGTCTATGTTCTAGTATATGATCAAATATTAAGAAATTGTTCTCAGGGTATGTCCAAAAATTAAAAAATGGACCAAAATATAGTTGTTCAATACTCTTCATTTAGCAAAAAAGAACAACTATAGTCCTCGTAGTTGAGTCATTGTAATTTCTACAATAGGCTTTGAAAATTTTTTTTAACCAGTTGTTCTGAACCGAGGTCCAAATCGGAATTGGAAACAAATCATATGATAAGAATATGGACTTTCTTCCCCAATTTAAAATTCGAATTCGGGACATGACAAACATTTTGCATCCCCATTTCACCAATTGAACTATCCAAATTGGATTAATAGAATTTGAACTTGTCAATTGACAACACTTAATAACATATCATTTGGAATTGTTCTACTATAACTTTGAACTTGGAAAACTAGTTCATTTGATCTCTTTATAGCATCGCCAATAAAAAAATGACTTGAATTTCTTACATTTGAAAAAGGAGGATTCATCAAACTAAATATTCAAATAATAGAAAATATAACAATATTTTACAACAAGTAAAATTTTCAGTGATCGAATGAATACACGATAATGCTAACACCAGTTAAGACAACAATTTGGAATCATAAAAAAAAATCAAGTTTCGAGAACAAAATACAAGCAAGGTTCATGAACATCTTCACCATCCATCTCATGATCCATCAATTTCCAAGAACCGTCATCTTGCTGGACCATGCCCTTGTTCTTGAGAACCCTCCAAGAACCAGGAACCATATATTCATCTTTCAATGCATCAATGGATTTGTTGATCAAAGATATGTCACGTTTTACCTGGAGCTTGAACTCTTTCGTCGTAGTGCCTTGAGTCCCAGCAACTCCATGCAAGTTCGCCTCCAGATTGTGAAACGATACAAGGTCTCCCGGAGTTTTCAGGTACGGAGATTTCCGGGTATCGATCGTTAACTCTTCCCCGACATCAGAGTATCCTAACGGTGGATAGGTCGGGACAATGTCTGGCAGATTCCTTACACGTAACCCTCGTAAACTTTTGTATCTGTTGTGGATTTATATGTTCATATCCTTAGCTAACAGTTTGACATATATATATATATACACACACATATATAGGAAGGTTTTTTTTTTTGGTTAAAGCTTATTTCAAAGGTTCAAATACATTTTTAGATTTCTATTTAAATTTTTGGACATACCCTGAGAACAATTTCTTGAAGTCGGGATTTCCAACACGAGGACTAGCGAAAACGAAGGCTGTTACAAGGCATGGCTTGTCCGGCCGATTCTGTGTTGCGTTGTATCCATTGGCCACGATATCTGCTGCATTGAGTGTCGCAAGGGCTGCCCCAAGGCTATGACCGCATACGGTAATGCTGATTTCCTCGTCTTTGTACTTCTCCACCAGTCTCCTTACCTCTTGCAATACCTTTCAATTCACAAATATATATATATATATATATATATATATATGTATCTACATTTTCATAAGTGTTATTATCACATGTGACCGAGGAATATTTAGCATATATGACATGATACCTGGTCTCTTGCACTGGATTTGTTGAAAGGTGAACGTTCGTCTGAAGAGGTGTATATCGAATACCAGCCTTGATGGACCTGAACCCCCTTGCTCTTTTCCCCGAAAATGTTCTTAGCGTCAACCAAAACGAAGTGGAAATCATTAATCCATTCCAATGTCTGGATCGAACCTCTCCAAGCAACCACGATATCTCTCCGACCTAACAGCTCGGTCCCCTCGTCCGTCGTGACGGCCACGTACCCCATCCAGTTCGACTCCTTGGTCCGCCCTTCACGTGACACGGGAAAGACCAAGAACGAATCAGGAACCTCGATCTGTGACGTGGCGTACAGGAACTTGGTCACTTGGTACTTGGAGTAGGGATTGTTCTTCTCCAGACCCACTTTGGAGAAGAAATCTTGTCGGGAGTAAATGCTGGAACCGGCGTATTTGGATTTGGTGTTGGAGTTGAAAGTGTCGTAGGTTGCCTGAGCCATCTCCCCGTAGTGAATGATGTATTGCCGGAGATCTTGATCCAACGGCTGCAGCAGCCCTTTCCAATTGCTTTCACCGCTCAGATCTCTCCATCCTCTCCCAATGCTTCTCAGCATTCTTTCTTTATTTCTTCTTCCTATAAAAATTAGCTTAAAACACTCAGACACGCCTATAGTTTTGTGTGTGTCTGTGTGTCTATATATATAACAGTACAACAAATAGAGTTTGGCAAGAAAACGATCTTAAACCTTGTTTCTCTTGTTTTTATTTTGTCTTATTGAATCAGAAACCTTCAAGTGGAACCAGAAGAAATGTGAAAGAGGCTCGGATGTTATCGCTTATGAGATGGTCGAGAGGAATCCAAGTTTTAGAAGAAAACGTTAGTTTTCGATATGATTTCCACGCATAAATTATTATTTTTTTAAGTGATGATTTAGCATTTCGTGTACTCTTGGGTTGGACATGTGCAAGAATTATAATCAAGTAAATTACCTCTAGAATTAAAATTGGATTTCACATCCGCCACTACTAAAGTACATACACATGCATGCCTTGTGGTGCATTAGTATATGTTATCTCGTGAATCGTCAATGGCTTGTTAACGTGGAACAAGCAATTTTATATAATATTATATATATATAACAATGTTTTTGGGGAAGTCATTTCACGTAAGTTTCTGAAGGGATCAGATTGTTCGATTATAAAATCATTTGAATTATACCGTATTCAAGTTGTGGGTTGCACGAAAACAAGCAAATGACCAGTTCTACAAATCTCCGTGAATGGAGATTCTTCGCAATATTATAATCTACGTACAAGGAATTTGCGTGTGTGTATATATATATATATATATATATCATTACACGGTTGTATATATTTATATTTACCTATAGTTGTTCCATTTCACGTCTTATATTGTTCATCTCCAAACTCAAATACAAAGAAAAATAAAGAACTAAACTTGGAACAAAAATGCTAAAGAAAAAAAGGGAAAGCCAGGCAAATCTTACTAAACGAACGAATCAAAATTTGAAATGATTACCAAACGAAGATGAATCCAATAGAAACCTTATCGAATTCGACAAAACCCTGAAATCAAACTACTGACCATCGCCATCGTCCGGCTCGTGATCCATCAACTTCCAGGAGCCATCACCTTGTTGAACCATACCTTTGTTCTTGAGCACCCTCCAGTGATCAGGGACCATATGCTCATCTTTCAAACTGTCGGTGTTTTTGTTGACGAGAGAGATATCGCGGTTGATCTCGAGCCTGAACTCTCCTTTAGTGCCATGTGTCCCCGCAACGCCATGCATGTAATGCTCCATACTGTGAAACGTCGTGACGTTTCCTGGAGACTTGAGGTACGGAGACTTTCTCGTGTCTATGGCCAGCTCATCTCCCACGTCTGAGTATCCCACCATCGGGTAGGCACATACCACGTCCGGCAGATTTTTCGTACGTAATGCCCGGAGATTGTCCAGTCTGTTACACACACACACACACATATATATATATACACACATCACGTTTGTCAAAATGAATAATCGAAATAAGTTTTTTGGCTTACCCGGAGAACAGGTTCTTGAAATCGGATGCGCCGACACGAGGACAAGCAAAGGGGAAGGCGGTGACCGGACAAGCCTTGTCTGGACGGCCCTTTGGTTTGTTGTATCCATTGAAGACAATATCCGTCGCACTGAGCGTGGCAAGGGCCGCCCCGAGGCTATGACCGCAGACGGTAATGCTAATGTCCTCGTCCTTGTACAACTCCACCAATCTGCTTATTTCTTGCAATAACTTAACACAACAATTGTTACACGTTCACCTTACTAGATATATTATTGATTGGTAACAAAACATGAAACTAGAGTATCTAATATGTAAATATCTACACTTTGGTCCAAAAAGATCTCACAGTTTTTTTAAAGAGAGATATATAATCGAATTAGATGATTGGATATTAATATATAATATATACCTGGTCCCTGGCGCAGATCTTATTGAACTTTGAACGAGTGTCGTAAGAAGTATAGATGGACAACCATCCACGGTGCACCTTGATTGGCTTGCTCTTCCCTGCAAAGATCTTACTCCCATCGACCAGACCGAAGTCAAAATCGTCGATCCATTCCGTTGTCTCGATGGTCCCTCTCCATGCGACAACGATGTCTCTCCGACCAAGAACGGCCGTGCCATCATTGGTAGCCACGGCCACGTAGCCGATCCAGTTAGACTGCTTGGTCCACCCCTGTCCTGACGCCGGGAACACCATGAATGCACCTGGCATGCGGGCTTCCGACGTTGCGTACAAGAACTTGGTCACTTGGTACTTGCAATATGGGTTGCCATTCACTATGCCCACCTGTTAGAAATCATCCAAACGAAATTCCGAAAATGGGAAAACAAGCCTAGAGAATCGAGAAAGATTAGCTAGGGCAAACTTGTTTGTGGCTTAAAAGAAGGACCTTGGAGAAGAAATCTTGCCGGGAGTAAATGCTGGAACCGGCGTATTGGGATTCGGTGCACGAGTTGAAAGTGTCGTAAGCAGCTTGAACCATCTCGCCGTAGTGGACAATGTATTGCCTCAAATCCAAATCCAACGGCTCCAATAAGCCGTTCCAGTGACTTTGACCGCTCAGATCTCTCCATCTCTGAGCGATCGATGCCGATTTCGCCGGTGGTTTCGATACCGGCTCCTTCTTTGCCGTCGTGGAAGCCATTGATGACGGCTTCTTCTTCTGTTTCGCCTTGTCTTTCCTCGAGAAGCCGAAACAGCCCATCCCTACGTTATCTTCCGCTCCCATCACCTACACAATGGCATGTACACGTGTATATACACTAATTTATTCCAGCTTTTACAAGAAAAAAAAATGTTAAATGCAGTTTACGAATCATATACTTATTCAAGTAAAAATATTCTCTTGTGGGTTTTGGTCTTGAAGGAACGGAGAAAATACGGATTGATGAGAGACAATTAGAAAAAGAGAAATCGAATTTACTACGTTAAAACTAACAGTTGCAGTGTCTGAGAATTTAACATAGGTCGAGGATCTTGCCCATGATGTAGTTAAATGAATCTTAATTGCATGCGTAAATTAAATTTGTTATTTCTATATTTATCCTTCAGTCAAATAAAATCCCTATGTCTACTAACCAACCATGAGGATTGAAGACTTTGTCCTTGTAAAAAAAAAATTATTTATAAAATTTCCAAATTATTTATAAAAAAAAAAAGAAAAATCCTTAAGATTTGGTCAGATGCATTACCAAAAAAAACTCTTAGAAAAATACTAGAAATTAGGGCAAATCTAACGGAACCAATTCGTAGGGTTTTTTTATGGGTCGCTATCAAATACTAGGAGTTTGCATACACATTCGTGTGTTACTCATTTGAACCTGTTTCTCTATATGCCCATCGAACTTTTATACAATAGTTTATTGTTCGAAAAATGTTCAATAATTATATCCGCTAATTAAAATACATATAATAATACAATTACTTTATTAAAGTTTTAATATTCTTATGTATATTTTATATATTTTTAGGCTTCTCGACGTGGAAGAAGCTATCCAACATACAGATATATATATTGATGGGTGGAAATATGCTTTTTCTTTAAATAAATCATTTCATCCATAAATTAATGTTAGTTATAAATACTTGAGATGCACGAATCTAATGCGTATCTTATCGTTTGCATTATTTAATTGCTAAGGTAACAAGAAAATAATATATAATCATATGTAAAATCCAATACGCCACGTGTAATCACAAATTGGACGGTGATATTAATTATACCCTCTAGACATATATATAACGTTGGCCTGCCTTGTACTCAATGCTTTGATGTGAAGGGAAGTTTCACCTCCAAAACATATGTAACGACCCGAGGCCGCTACGGAATGATAGAGTTGTCCCCACACACCAACACGGGACCTTTTAGCGTGTTTTGTCCTCACTCGCACACATCCCGGAAAGTACTTCCCAGGAGGTCACCCATCCTAAGACTACTCCAGAGCCAGCACGCTTAATTTTGGAGTTCTCTCGAGATGGACAACCGAAAAGGTAGATGCATCTTGTTGATATGAGTAGCTCAATTAATTCCTTTAAGTTATCTTAGACTGTGTAGTCCCATACCTACACAGCCCTCGGATCCCTCTCATTCCGGTGCGTCCGCTTCATCCATGTACCCCCTACCCAGAAGCTCGTCAGGAGCCGCCCATTGTCCATGCCTCTCGCACCGGCGATCACTCCCCGCCCTCCTACGGTATCCTGGGCTGTCACAGGCCCACCAGCTTCCGCATGGTTCGTCCACGAACCACACCGTACTGGGAGAGAACCGGCTCTGATACCATTTGTAACGACCCGAGACCGCTACGGAATGATAGAGCTGTCCCCACACACCAACACGGGACCTTTTAGCGTGTTTTGTCCTCACTCGCACACATCCCGGAAAGTACTTCCCAGGAGGTCACCCATCCTAAGACTACTCCAGAGCCAGCACGCTTAATTTTGGAGTTCTCTCGAGATGGACCAGCACGCTTAACTTTGGAGTTCTCTCGAGATGGGCAACCGAAAAGGTAGATGCATCTTGTTGATATGAGTAGCTCAATTAATTCCTTTAAGTTATCTTAGACTGTGTAGTCCCATACCTACACAGCCCTCGGATCCCTCTCATTCCGGTGCGTCCGCTTCATCCCTGTACCCCCTACCCAGAAGCTCGTCAGGAGCCGCCCATTGTCCATGCCTCTCGCACCGGCGATCACTCCCCGCCCCCCTACGGTATCCTGGGCTGTCACAGGCCCACCAGCTTCCGCATGGTTCGTCCACGAACCACACCGTACTGGGAGAGAACCGGCTCTGATACCATTTGTAACGACCCGAGACCGCTACGGAATGATAGAGCTGTCCCCACACACCAACACGGGACCTTTTAGCGTGTTTTGTCCTCACTCGCACACATCCCGGAAAGTACTTCCCAGGAGGTCACCCATCCTAAGACTACTCCAGAGCCAGCACGCTTAATTTTGGAGTTCTCTCGAGATGGACAACCGAAAAGGTAGATGCATCTTGTTGATATGAGTAGCTCAATTAATTCCTTTAAGTTATCTTAGACTGTGTAGTCCCATACCTACACAGCCCTCGGATCCCTCTCATTCCGGTGCGTCCGCTTCATCCCTGTACCCCCTACCCAGAAGCTCGTCAGGAGCCGCCCATTGTCCATGCCTCTCGCACCGGCGATCACTCCCCGCCCTCCTACGGTATCCTGGGCTGTCACCGCATCTTACTTAATTTATTTAATAATTTCTTGATTTTTTTAATATTGGAGCTGTAATGGGACATGTGTATTATATGGGATCCAAAAAATGTAACTTCGGAATTTAGGAATAATGATAACTAAATTGAATGTTAATAAACATAGAAAAGGAAAAAATTTACATGACTATCATTCAAAATTTTCAAAAAATCATACGCATTGAGATTTCGACCGACACAAAAAACAATAAGAAGAATTTCATACTCAAGATGTGCGATTCCTCTTCACTTCACTTTGGAATAAATAAAGAATATGATGATCGTACGGGACAAATGTAATATACGTATGCATGTATATTTTGATGAAAAATGGTCCTGATGGGAATGGGTTCACGGGATCAATCGATTTGGCCGACAAACGCCAACGGTTATGTATACATACATAAGGTTGTACACACACGCACACATGCATGCATGTATCATTCAATAGATGTGATGTGTCACGTTTCTAGATGAGAGATTGGAGTTCTATATTTATATAGAACGTGCATGTCTAAATATTGATTGAACTTATTTAATCGCAACTAATTTGCTAATTTCATATACGGTTAATTCACCTCGGAGATGCTATTTTGCAACTGATACTAAATTAAACGTCAATTAAGTTGATCGATCTCGAATATTAAGTTTTTTTTGTTAATCGGATATCATAAACCAAAAGTTAAAACTAATTAGTCGGAAATCTTAGATGAATGTCCATTTCCAAACTGAAGTTCGAATTCAAAGCGAGACAGATACTTTTGTTTAGCACAATGGTGAAATATGATTGAGGGAGAGTGAACAAACGTTTTATGGGTCCGGACCAATGGAGAAATATGAGTGCCCTTTTGTTTAGGGCAATCAGCAAAAGCGTGTGAGACTGAAAGCTCTATATAACACGTCCAAGATGGGAGGCGTCCCCGACATAAACCCTAATCAAACTCCCAAAAACAAACAAAATTGCAATCGATACAGTTCACATTGAGAAATAAGACGAATCATCATTATATATATATATATATGGTGCATTACTCCTTAAAGCAAAATTCTAACCAAAATGCTAGAATTGTTATAGACACCTCAACATGTATAGTAGGTATATTTCAATTTTACTTTGAACCGTTAAAGAAAAGTGTCACATGTACGTACACAATGTGTATATGTATAAGATAAGATGTAGATTTTGATAAGGACCGCCATACATCGAGTAGTCTTTAATATGAAAATAGAAAATCGAATCGACGAGCAACATATTTATATAAGGATATCATATAGGTACGTAGTTTTACGTTGCATACATATATACATATATAATACGTGGAATACAAACGCATATATCATATATACGTGTATTAGAGCCATATATATAAGATAAGATACAAAATTGAGAAAGGACCACCTTATATTATTATTATTTTTTTGTGAGGTAATCAAAGTATACCGACCACTCTATGTGACATTCTTTTCAGTGCTCTGTCTCTCCCTTCTTCACCGCTTCTAACATTAAATCCTCCTCTCACTCCAATCGTTAGCTTTCTCTATCATTTAACACATTCATATATATATATATATATATATATACATGGATCCATATATGACGTATCCATATATGAGGGTAATCAGTTATAATATATATATATATATATATATATATATATATATATATATCAAAACGTGAATTCTTGTGACGTACGTGAATCATGATAAAAATCATACATTTGCTCCAATGAAACTAATGGTTGGGGGAAACCCCAACTCAATTATTTAAGAATTCTTTCCCCTAATTCGAGGTTGTGGGTTCAACTTCACGTATACATACATATACACACTGTCGTGTAAGTATTTTCATTAAAAAGACAGAAATTGCATTTTATCACATGCTTAGCCAACATTAAACGCATCTAAAGGATAAAGTATAAATATGCATATTTATATAAAAAAAAAAGATATATAAATTGACCCAACCGAACATCTATCTCATTATTCTTATTTGTCATAAAATTAGTTTGTTCTCCTCTGAGCCAAGGATTAGGCAAATATAAACGATGGATGCGATGTTTTTGGGTGATTAATAACGTGTTTAATTTTCGAGACATTAATATTATATACGTACTTACAACCTTAATGTTTTCAACACAAACATAAAATAAAAATGGGCGTTTTTTGAATTTTGAACGTTCCTCGTTTACAGAGCGCTCGCTCACGAATGCTTTTTTTTTTTCTGTTTTATTTTATGTAACCCTTTACCCTTTTAGGCTTTTAAAAATGAAAAAAAAAAGATTACATGCGTGCTATGGTTGGTCCATTGGGCACAAATTTTAACCAATACACGATTTATATAATCAGCGAAAAAACTTACCAATAAAATCACAATGGCAAACGGAATAAAGGGTATGCTTTCGATGTCAATTACAGTAGTTTTCCAATGCTACTGAACTAAATTGTAAAAGATTTTGTAATAATAAAATGTATCAATAATTAGATATATCATGGGCAAAACCTAATATCATTTGTAACGATTGCATAAATAGATGTAAGGTACGGTTGCTGAATATTCAAGTGACAAACATCAGTATATACATTAAGGTCTTCCAACGGTCGAAAAACATGAAGTATCCAACAAATATTATAAATGATTATAAAATGTCACAAAAGAAATTTATAATTCTTTTTTTTTTCTTTTTGTCCTTGGGGGTCCCCCATTCAACTCTTCAAGTTCAAAAAAGCCAACGGCCCACACAGAAAACGGATTGCTTTTAGGTTCCATGCAAAATCATCCTCTCCCTAAAAAAGGACGAAAATTTGAAATTACCGTCTCCGAGCTCCATCAATGGTGGCCGGAAAAGTTCGAGTGACTTTGGGCTTCCACAAGTCCCCTTCCAACAAGCGCAAGCAGCAACAGCACCACCAGTCGGAGATGACCCCTCCTCCTCCTCCTCCTCCTGCGCCGCCGTCTGGCTCCGCCGGAAAACCGGCGAATCATGGTTCCAATCAGAAGGCGGTTTTCTCCCGCTCTTTCGGAGTTTACTTCCCACGCGCCTCCGCTCAGGTCCACGCCGCCACTCGCTCTTCTCCGCCGGACCAAGGGGTCGCCGACCTTCTCCGTCAGGTGGAGGAGCTCCGGGAGAGAGAGGCTCTCCTGCAGACGGAGCTTCTCGAGCTCAAGCTCCTCAGAGAATCCGTCTCCGTGATTCCGATCCTGGAATCTCAAATCTCGGAGAAGAATGCCGAGATCGAGGGTGCGAGGAAGGCGACGGTGAGATTGGAGGAAGAGAACGAGAGATTGAGGCGAGAAATCGAAGCCTGGAACGCAAGAAGCGAAGAGCAGAGGAGAGAGAGCGAGAGGAGGGAGAAGGAGCTGGAAGCGGAGATCGTAGGGCTCAGGAAAATGGTGACGTTGAGGGAAAGTGAGGAGCACGCGCTCTCGGCTTCGCAGAGGTTTCAGGGTTTAGTAGAGGCGTCGGCGAAATCGAATCTCATGAGGGGCTTGAAACGGGTCGGGTCCTGGAGGAATGTACCCGATCCGAATCCGGAGCCCAGCGGAGACGGCGAAATCTGCGTCGGACTTGGCGGTTTTCCGAGGAAAGATGAAACAGAGAGTCAGAGACCGAGTCACTCCAGGAGTAGATCGAGACGGAGTCATCGCTCTCTGCCGTCAGATCTAGGGTTCCTCGTGTCCCAAAACCACCGCCGAAACGGTCCTTTTCATCCAACGGATCAGGTGATTCCACGGAGAACAGAGCCGCGCCGGCGACGCAGAAGACGGCTTCTTCTCCTCCGCCGCCTCCTCCAATTCCGCCGCCTCCGGAGACTGTTTCCAAGGCTCCACCGCCGCCTCCTCCTCCTCCGCCGAAAAGCCTTCACTCAGCGCCGGCGAAAGTAAGGAGAGTGCCAGAGGTTGTGGAGTTTTACCACTCGCTCATGCGTAGAGACTCCATGAGCTCAAGGCGAGATTCCGCCGGAAACAGTGGAGGTGGCGCGACGGAGACATTACTGGCGACGGCGAACGCCCGCGACATGATCGGAGAGATCGAAAACCGGTCGTCCTATCTCCTAGCGGTAAATCCCGGTTTAAAATTCTCTATTCTGGTTTGAATTTCCCGGTATGCCAACTCCGGTTTAGCTTTTCGATGCGTCAGTGAAAATTGACCGGTCATGCTGTCTCATCGTTGCCCTTTTCTGCCTTGCGACCCTTTTTGAGATCTCAAATTTTCATTCGTATCTTCTCAGACAAGACAGTGTTTGGATTCTCTCGTCGATTTTTGAAACCGAAAGGCCATAATTATCATACCGACTCCACTTTAAATGTTTTGTTCCTTCTCTTGTTTTTTTTTTCCACAGATAAAAACCGACGTCGAGACGCAAGGTGATTTCATAAGGTTCCTAATCAATGAAGTCGAAAACGCAGCGTTTTCTGACATAGAGGACGTCGTACCCTTCGTTAAATGGCTCGACGATGAACTCTCGTACCTGGTACGCACGAAAATTCGGACAAAAGTTTCTAACTTTCGAGACAAAACATAGATCAAACTCTAGATTTCAACAGATTCGAATATCAAATTCTGAAAATGTTTTCTGGGTATTTCTCAGGTGGATGAGAGAGCAGTGCTTAAACATTTCGATTGGCCTGAACAAAAAGCCGACGCATTGCGTGAAGCAGCCTTCAGTTATTTCGATCTGAAGAAACTCGAATCGGAAGCATCTCGATTCCGAGATGATCCTCGTCAACCATCGGGTCCTGCTCTTAAGAAAATGCAGGCTCTCTTTGAAAAGTAACACGACATTTTCTATGCTTTTGATATAATCTTTTGGTTTTCGTCGGTTAGGAAAAATTCAAATTCTTGGTTTGGGTGAATTTAGGTTAGAGCATGGTGTTTATAGTCTTTCGAGGATGAGGGAATCGGCGGCGACAAAGTACAAGACTTTCCAGATTCCGGTCGATTGGATGCTCGAGACGGGAATTACGAGCCAGGTATGCATATGTGTGTGTGTGTATATATTAATTAATATTAGACTCCATAGATATATATCTCATATCTAGGGATCTGACATCAAAGTTTAGCCTTTTCTACTCGATTAAATAGGTGCCTAATGATCTATCATAGATTTACATTACTATAATCCATCTCCCCATGTTGCCATCACTATTTGTCTAACGAATTTTTTCAATTAAAACATGGGGTTTGGATGATTTTAAATCGATTTTTCAGTTGTGGAATCAACTTTTGGGCATATTTTAAGTATCTCCCTTCTACTAACTGCTAAAAAAGGCTACTTTAAGTGTATGGTCTTCAAACCTTAACTTCCCATTTATAGATAATTAGTGCACTTTAATTATATTTTAAATATAATGAAAAACACAAAAAAAAAAAATCTCATGGTCCCCCAGTTTCTGATGAGTCTGTATCAGTGGCAGGACAAAGCAATGTTGTTTTAACTCTCTGCAATGCGATGTATCATTATATTGGTATTTACAAACTGACTATAAATATATGCTACATGACAAATATATACACAACAACAACAACAACAAAAAACCAACCTCCCTTAATTTTAAATTTTATCCTAATAACTTGCTGTGTGTAGTCGTGCAATTTGAATTATTATTACTATTTTTTTGGGTCGACACCATATTTCGATGCGCACGCCTGCATGCATGGGTGCATGCCCACATGTGAACATCCAGATTGTATCTTCTTGTTTGTTTCGTTTGTGTTTGCTTTGGGATTCATGACTTTCATTATTACGAGTAAATGAGACAACATGGTAAACAGACAAAAACAAATAAAGAATAGAGATTCAGACTCTCAGCAGATTTTTCATGTCATGGAAAATGTGCTAAAGGGTTTGGACTAACGGTTGAATTTGTTGGGGCTCCAGATCAAGCTGGCATCAGTGAAACTGGCGATGAAGTACATGAAGAGAGTATCGGCGGAGATAGAGGCAATAGGCTCCGACGAGGAGGAGTTGATCGTTCAAGGTGTCAGATTCGCCTTCCGTGTTCATCAGGTAAAAACCCATTTGGAAAGACATCCCCTTTTGAATCAACCATTGATTTATGCCCAAACCCGTCACCTTGGATTCAAGAATTGGATTTGGTTTTGGACTGGCTTTCATGGACTATGAATGAAATTGGGTGATTTTGGTGTTGAACAGTTTGCGGGAGGTTTCGACGTGGAAACGATGAGAGCATTCCAAGAGCTGAGGGACAAAGCGAGGACGTGTCATCATCATGCCCAATGCCAAAACCAGACACATCATCAACACAAACTTGTCTCCCGACCTACCCCTTGCTGAAACAAGATTTCACTACAAATCTTTCTGCAGCAATCTCGGCTTCAGAACAATCCCTTCTTCACCCTTGTTTTGTTTTGTTAGTTTGGTCTTTGTATTTTTTTTTTAATTGTAGGGACAGTAAAACAAAAAAAAGGCCCCCCATGTGAATAGTATGGTCATGCAGAAAGAACAATCCGATTTCTCATGCACCTATGGTTTTATCATTGTTATATGGTAAACTATCTCCTCTACAAGAACAGGACATCACTTGTTAGGAGACTCTGCCCTAAATCCTACAAGACAGAGAAACAACTTCACACAAGATTTATCCCCTACCAGCTTCAAGACAAGTACCATTGGGAGATTGAGAATACCGCTCAATCTCTGCAATCTTCTTACTTAGATTCTGCTCCATCCTCATAACATTTATCATTGTCATCAATATCATCATTTTACATCTGTCTTAAGCTGAGTTCGACCAGTCAGATCTTCCAGGTACGTTTGGATGGTCGATGGATCTGAGACAGAACAGAGAGAGTGAACCTCGGATCCGGTGAGGCAAGATCCCGATAGGAACATCACTGTTCTCCACCACTTCTAGAGTTGTTCTCTCCCTCCTCCGCATTAGATCCTGGAAGAGAAAGTATGCAGATATAATAAATATAACATGTATGCATCCAAGACAGAAGGGCTTGTAATGTTCTGATGATGGAACAGATCGTATTCAGAAACAGAGTTCTGAAAATTTACCCAAGAGGGTGTTTCAGGATGCCTGCTAAGAGTTCAGCAGCAAGAGCTCCGGCTAGGAGCAAGACCCGACATTGTTGTTGTTGCTGGTGATGGTCTAGAGTCCGATCGGTAATTGACTGCGAAAAGGAAGATCGAAGTAGATGAGGACCAAACCAGATGTAACGTGACAGGTAATAAACAAAGCAATCCATCCAAAAACAACATCATTGCAGAAGTAAAAGCCAAGCCTGTGTCTTTCCGTTTTGGTAATGTCTGAGATTTTGCAAATCACTGGATACGGAACTTTCTGGTTTGGAGTTTGAGAGTGGCCATCGGACAGAAGGGGGCCGAGACCAGGTCCATGGCGGATCACATGTTGTTTCTTATAACTACAGCCAACATGAACAAAAGGTTGGTGAATTTGTAATGGTAAGAGTTGAATTCATAATCAGTCAACAGGAACTAACCATCATGGGATTCGATCAAATCACTAAGGCATAGACAGTCATTAAGAAACCCATCTTCTTCCTGTCTAGAAAACGGACAAAAAGCCATGATAGTCAATTCCAAAAACAGCCGTGAACTTGGTATTAGGAGATGAAAACGGCATGGTAAGGCAATTTTGCGCAGAGAAACCTGCATTCCAACCACGACCAAACTGAAATCACTGATTGGTGGAATTCGTAACGAAACCCTAAATCTGCATTCCCAGGATCATGAGCGCATAGCAGTCTCTCTACCAAGTTGATCGTGACTTTCATATGTTCAGAGTTCTTGTCTTCACCAAATCCCAGCCTCGATCAAATACGCCAACACACTCTTATCGGCGAGAACAGCGGAAAAAGGGACAATATTTGGAAATACACTCGGCGATCAAACGGATCATGCCATGTCTTTGTAGCACCTCATGTATATTCACACACACGCAAATCAAAGCATATATACACAAGTCGTTGTGTTACCGGTGATGGGAATCGGAGAATCCTCGATAGCGAATTCGTCGGCGGAGCTGTTGAACGGTACGACCTGAAGTATCGGTCGAGTCTCCTTCCCCTCCATCGCCGGTCTCCCCTCCGACAACCCGCAAATCTTCAAAGTCATTCTCTATCGACGATGTCGGAGAGAGAGGGGAACTGGGTCGGGTCGGGTCGGGTCCTTCGTACGCTTATATATAGCGAATCAGCGATCACGGAGGAAAACAGATGATCGAGTGGAATGACATTAATTGATAATGTATATAAAAATAAAAATGTTAGTATGTATAAAATACTAAGACATAAATTAGATTTTATCGGCCGGCATTACATTATATCCTTATCCAACCTTAATTGGTAATAATTTTTCTTTAATAATTCGGTAACATTCTCTTGTCTGAATGGTTGGTTATATATATATATATATATATATATATATTGATTCACGGGTATAAGAAGTAGAAACATAATCTAATAATTCATTAACGAGACAAATTAATAATGTACACCAGCAACCTACATATATACATGGAACCAACCAAAGAGAACCCAAATTTTCAATCTTTACACTTATTTTACATGAATAATCTAATGCTTGTTCTTGATATATACACACACACACACACACATACATATTCACGTGATCATATTTGTTCAGACAATGGGATAAGAAGCCTTCATGGCGAGACCACAGAGCCCTTGCTTGTCTTTGACATCTTTCTGTATCCTCATGTATCCACTCTCTCCCCAGTGTTCTCCCCACGAGTTCTTTATGATCCAATGCTTTGTTCCATCCACGGTTTCGCCGTATCCGACCACTGCCACTGCATGGTCGAGATCGGTCCCACACTGTCCCGTGAATACACCCGACGAATAAAACTGAAACTCGAACCCTCCCCCTTCGATCGCAACGCTCACTGGTTGGTTCGTCACTGCCTTCATCAACGCCTTTTCGTCATTAGCCGGCACATCCTCATACCCTATATATACACACACACACAAACACGTTCAAAGTGAGATTCAGAAAACATTCATAGCTTGATTGAGAGTGAAACCCTAAAGGCTTCTGCGATGATCGACAACCTGTGATGGTGGCTGCTTTGGCCGAGGCTTTCTTGGAATTGCAGGTACCGTCTTCACCGTTGTAAGGATAATTGGCTTCGGTGGTGAGGCCGTGGCTTTCCTTGATGTGTTCAAACGCCGTGTCCAAAAGACCGCCCTCGCAACCGTAGTCGTACTTGTCGCAATCTACTAATTGTTGTTCCGACAGCGAGATGAGTTTCCCCTTCTTGATCTTCGTTGCCCCCTCTATCGCCGCCACCACTGAAAATGCCCAACAACATCCTATGCAAACACAGGCATGTATAAAATCATTAGCTCCAACATCATATTCTTTCATAAGGTTGAAAAGGACATGCATGCACATGCAAAATTAACATAAAAGATTTTAAAAAAATTGATAAGTGATCTATTTCAAACGCACCACAACTAGCTTGATTCTTGATAGGAGTGACAGCTCCTTTCTTCCTCCAATCCAAAGAGACCGGCGAAGCCCTCAATGACACGTTTTGATGCATGAACGACGTTGTCTTCAGTTCATCGGTTATTACATCTGTAGAGTGCTGTCCCTTATAACCAGTGTACATAGAACGGAACTCGTCATTGGTAAGATCAGCAAACTGATTTACACCGAGTTTAAACTTCCTTTCAGGCACATTGTCATTGTTCAGCGTTTCTATACGTTCAACGTTCAGTTTGAATATAGTGTAACGTCTCTCCTTTTCTTTTGCGTCTAAGTAGACACGGCCATGCTTCGCCATCCACTCTTCATGCCTTTTCAGCATCATTAGCTCTTCATCGAGCGGACGAGAAAGAGATGTGGACAGAAAGAGAGATGAAACCAGAGAGATTATAAGAAGGGCGTGTGTGCGTTTAGAATCCATTCTTTGAGTGAAATTTAGGGTTTCTGTAATGAGAATTAATGATGGAGAGACCAAAGAGGGTCGGAGATGGTTTATATAGTGGAAGGGTGGTGTTTTGAAACGAGGGATATAATCGATTACGTATGATTCGTTTATATTATATATATATATATATATATATATGTATGTATATAACCAAGTTTTTTTTATAGAATTTCTGACTGAGACAGTCAAACAGGTATTTGTATATATCAAATCGTTCCAATGGTGTGCCGTGTAGAAACTCTTTCTTATGCGTTCTGTATGTGCAAAAGAACTCGAATCAAACTGAGCCATTTAGGATAATCAATTTCATCATCTGACAATAAATATCTCACATATACTTAGAGAATCATACATTGAAAACCGAAATCATATAAAATTTTAAAATATATATATATTTTTCCGCCTACATGTACTTCTATTTTTATTTTGACCGTTTGAATCACGTACATGCAGAAAAATTTCATTGATATATATATATATATATATATATACTATAGGATATAAAAGCTAGAGCCTTTCATGTCGAAGTCTTAATGGATTACTACAATTTGACAAACCAGTCTACTTCTCGATCGCCGTTACGTGACATAACCAAAAACCCTAATTGAGATGCACATATCAAACAAAAAACAGAATCTCCCTTTTGTTTTTGTTTTTAAAAAATGATATGAGAAGCAAAGATTCCACTTCCTTCACACAAGAGCCAACCGTGGCAGCTAAAAGAAGATCAGCCAATAAACAGAAGAAACTCAACGACACACTATAAGTAACTGATTAATCATCTGTGTCATTATCAGACAAAACGAAAGTAAACACCATCACGCTAAGTTTCTTAATCTGTAACAATTAAAGCCCTTTTGCTTGATTGACCAAAAGTTCATGTTTAATTAATGGTGCCATAACACGCTCCATCTCTATGAGAAAGAATAAGGGCTTCATCAATGATGAATACGCTTGTTGGACTATATATATATATGATCCCATCCCATTGTAATGTATTTCTTACGGTGTATCAATGCAGATTTGTGATTATTTTTATGTGAAAAAATGGTGCAAAGATAATCTCAACAACAACACAATAACTCTAAGAAATGGGTTATCTAAGAGAACGATTTATCATACGGAGAAATAGAGTAGATGATCCCAACCATTAAAATTAAAAATCTAATGTGGGGTTGTTCTTTAACCTGTAACCCAAATTATGGGCCCAATCACCACGGGACAAGGAAAAAGCCGCTTGGTGGGGAAGAAGAGAAACCCTTGTGCTGTATTGGGCCGATAATGTGAATATTACGGGCCCAATTATGAAGCCCATTAAAAAAACCCAACGTAGCCCAAACACAATCCGACGTCGTTTCAGTGTGTTTTTTTCTCTCGAACCAAACCTAACATGAACAAAAAGAAATCCAAGAGGAGAAGAAAAAGAAACGAGGAGAGACGACTCGTACAGCATACGAGCCTTCGCAAAGGTTGGGTTTTTTTTTAAAATGCTCATGTATAAGATTGTGACATCAGAATTTATGTCATTTACTCTTGAAATTTTCGTGAAATCCGTATCCTGAAATAGGAATCTGGGTTTTTGCTTATAGTTGGAATCAGGTTGATGGTTTTTCGTCTAGGGTTCTCACTGCTTGCCACTGATCTCCACGTCTGAATTTGATTTTTCTTGCAAATCTTTTTTTTTTTTTGGGGGGGTTGGGGATTTTTTATGTGGAAGTTCATTTATTTGCCCAATTGTGTGTGTTCAGTGTGTTAGTTTTACTTTGAATTGCTGACCCAATCAGTCGGTATCCGGTGTTTTTGGGCAGCAGAGATAGTAATTAATCAGAGAGATTGATCAACTTCTGCTCGGAATTTGAGGTTTTTGTTAGAAATTCGAATTTTTTCGGAGCTTAAGAACAGCAAAGAGATGTTCTTTTGGACGTGAATTGTTGCGTCGTGATTGATGTGAAGTTCCTGAACTCACTAACTGATCCTATGTTGTCTGATATAAAATCGATTTGAAAGATGATTTTAGTTCAGGGTCATGTAATGTAACACATGGCGAATTCGTCTTTGTATGTTGAATATAGATCCTTGACTTACTATGTGAAATATATGAACCATTTGCAGATGGAAGTAGAGAACATCACATCTCAGGAATGTCCGAGCCGTTCGCAGGTGGATGTAGAGAAGGACGATGCTTCTCAGGAATCTGTCCCGAAGCCTAAGCTCATATACCGTTGTAAGAACTGCAGAAGGATAGTTGCTGCAGAGGAAAACATAGTTGCCCATGAACCGGGAAAGGGTGAGGAATGCTTTAAATGGAAAAAGAGAAGTGGAGACTCTGAACAAGTGAATTGCTCCTCCGTATTTGTCGAGCCCATGAAATGGATGCAAACAGGTAAAAATCTCAAGCCTTTACCCACTGGTTCCACCCTTTATGATGTGATATCCAAAACTAAGTGCCCTGATCACTTTATCTAAAGCTGAATCATATGGCAAGCTTAATGCAGCATTCGGTTCAAATTTCTTTCTTTCGTTGGTAACAAAATCTTGAATATTTGCAGTTCAAGATGGAAATGTGGAAGAGAAACTTCACTGCATGGGGTGTAACGCCCGGTTAGGTTACTTCAACTGGGCGGGGATGCAATGCAGCTGCGGAGCTTGGGTTAACCCGGCATTCCAACTTCACAAAAGCCGGTTAGACGAGTGTAACATGTGAGAGCCGCAACACTGTTTGAATGCTGAAGATTCATCACAGAGGGGATGGAAATCTCGGCGATCTCACTGCTGAGCGGACGTGGATATGCTCGTTGGAAGTTGAAGATAAAGTTTTGATCTTTGGTTGGTGTTCATAGTTCAGTTGCTTATTGATCTTTCCAGTGTGTGTTTTTTCTGTCTTAAAAGACCGAATGTGTTATGCCCATGTTGTACACCATAGTAAGACTCCCTATATATGTAGAAGACCAAGTAGTGGTTGAGGAAATTGTAAGGATGGGAATTTTGGTTCGGTCCATTTCATCCAAAAGTAACCTGATGGAATCCAATATAAAAGAAAATTATAGAGACATGGTTTTCATTTTTGTTCTTTTCTAAATATGGAAGGCGGCTAAAAGGGACAAGGAAGGTGTCAAAGAATGAACTTAGAGACCGGAAGCTACAATTAAGCAGCGCGAAACACGAAAGAATCACAGCCTCTTAATAATGGGTTTGTCTTGAAAACCGCTAGAAAGGAAAACAACAACAACGAGCCCTAAAAATAGCAGAGAGTTTGGGATATAAAAAGCAGCCCATTGGCTCGTTAGAGGAGCTGTCCTCTTCTCAGAAATATCTCTATACAAGGGAGGGCATTATATATACATCGAAAAAGGAAGAGAAGAGGCCACAGCCCCTAAAATAAAGGTAGAGAAAATGGCAAGCAAGGGGATGGTGTTGTTAATGGCGTCGGCCATATGCGTGTCGTATGTGGTTGGCTTTGCCGCCGCTGACGCCGACGATTTGGATCGTTTCCAGATTCAGGGATCCGTCTACTGTGACACCTGCCGTGTCCAGTTCATCACCCGTCTCAGCAAGTTCCTCCAAGGTATATTCTATATATACACACGCGGGCATGTTTAATGTTTATGATGTGTGTGTGTGTGTGCCTACATGTGCATGTACATTCTTGCATATATATATATATGGACGATGGACTGAATCTTGTATCCAAATATTGGTAGGGGCGAAAGTGAGATTGGAGTGCAAGAACAGGGTGACCGGAGCCCTGACGGTGTCAAAAGAGGCCGTGACGGACGACACGGGAAGCTTCCTGATGCAAGTGACGGGAGACCACGAAGAAGAGGTCTGCGAGATCATGCTCGTGGAATCTCCGGACCAAGAGTGCAGCGATGTGAGCAAAGACGCATACCTCCGTAACGCCGCTAAGGTGAGTCTAACGGCGAATGACGGAATCGTCTCCAACGAGACTCGTATCGTCAACCCTCTCGGCTTCATGGTCAAGACGCCGTCGGCTGACTGCCCCGCCGCCTTCCAGGAGCTCGGAATCACACCCGACGTTATCTTCTGAAACGACCACGTTTTATCCGTTTGACGATTATTCAAACAACATTCGACACGATGCTAATTTGACGTAATTTCTAATTTTCATTTTTGTAACATTTTCCAAAATTCTTGTGGTACTTTTGCTTGAACACCCTAGTGAATACTTTCCTGAAGAGAGAAAAAAAAGTGATTGGATTGCCACGAGGACTTTGGTACTTTTGCCCTAATTATATATATATATTTGTATATCATGTTATTGGCGTCGTATTTACATTATTATATTTTATGGTTACACAAAGCCTCTGGTTGGTCCATAATTAAGCCAGATAACAATCCGTTGCTATTATTGTAATAAATGAACAAAGTGCGGTATAGTCTATAGAGAAAGAGACATGGACCTTAGTTGTCCTACATGTATGAACCCTAGAGCCGATATTCATTTTTCGAGTTCCAGAAGGCTATTCTTTGCTGACGGAACGACGGACGAATACAGTTTGTCAGTCATCCTCGTCCGTAACCACGGCCTAGCAAAAAAAAAAATCATTCGTAAATTATACGCAGGTCGGGAAAAAGAAGACAGGGCAAGTTTGGAATAAAAAGAATTGATAAGAGAGGGCAGGTTCACTGACCTTGCGGATAGCCTTTGCTTTTGTAGGCGTCTCGGAGCTGTTCCCTCTCGGGTCGGATTGCTGCAACATTTCAGACATGGGAGGAATTAACTGAAACGGATCGATCGTGCAAAACCTAGACAGTTAGTTCTCTAGTGTGGATGGATCCATTCACAAGTTGAAACCCAAAGAATGAGAACAGACTATGCGTGCAATTTAGTTTTGTGCTAACAAAATGATCAAGTAGAAGCATACGATCAAACAAGCTTTTAGGAGATGTCGGTGTGTAAAAGGAAAAACTGAGGAAATAAGATAAGGATATATGCATTAAGTTGCCTTTTTACCTCGGTTGCTGTGAATTGCTTTCCATCTGCTGTGGATTCCACTGGTGACTCGGCCAAGGAAGTAGACTTTGGAATTTTCGGACTACATTCATGTTCAAGGGGTTGATCTCTTCTTGACCCACACAAGTCAGGTTCAGGAACATTGTCCTGCTTGGGGGAACCTGGTGGTTTTGGAGATGCAGGTTCTGTCTGACTTGTATGATTCTCGTGGATCTCCGTGTAGGAGACATTCTGTGCTTCTCTTATAGCACGAGAGGTATCTACATCATCAAAACATGGAATATCGAGATAGTAACCAGAAAGAGATGGCTCCACACCTATCCCAGCAGCAAATGTATTCTTATCTCCGACTTGTTCAAAGCTCGATGCCAAATCCCCGGGCGATATTCCACATAACACATCATATAAGCTGCCATCCTGTCTTTCCGGGTTTCCATCAGAATCCCACATATCAGAATCTGACAAAGAGTGATCAGTGCGACCACTGACTGAAATACCAGGTGATGATCTACAGAAGGTATCGTTGTCATCATCGTCCAAGTCACTGGCATTATTATGAGGTGATGATACAGTCTGTGGAACCAACTGAAACAAAGGGAACATTTCTGCCTCCCTCTCGTGGCATTGAGCCTGCGAAGGAATCTTCAGTTTCAATTTGGGAACTCCAAAGCTGTCTATTGGGTTGAATGATATCGTCATATGTTCAAGCCGGGGTGAGGAAGCAGGCGAGTCAAAGAGTGATTCAGAGCCAAATGGTTCATTGAAGGTTGATCCATTAGATTCTTGGTAACCATGTTCAGTTACGTCCTCCACAGCTTCCCTTGTACTCGAACTAGCAGGCACGGCTTCATAACTGCAAGCTGGCAAGTTTCTACGGAAACCATTCATGAGTAACCGATGGCTGAGGCCAAAGACTCCAAATGATATCACATTACTCTGCTGGTAAGACCCCATAGAATAACTCACTCCGCTTCTGTGTTGAGAGCTCAGATCCGAATCTTTCTCGTTGATCTCAACTGACCCGTCTGATATAACACTTGTTTCACCATTATTCTCGTTTTGTATATCTCCATTTTCAGAGATTGGCATAGCAAAAACTGGAGGTTTAGATGGCTCAAGTCCAAGGAGGCTACCATTGCTCCAGATTGCAACCGATTCAACACTTACATCACTGGACAAAGATTCTCGAACATCTGGACAACTTTTCACAGTAGCGTCTGGCAATGGACATTTTGCATCCAACAACTCGTTGCCCGATATAGGCGGTGAGCAAAGTTGAGTAAGAGATTCCACCTTCAGCTTGTTATGAACATCACCACTCACACGAGGATTAAAAGTTGTTAAATCATACCCAGGATTCTGAGGAATTGTTTTATCAGGAGTGGTTTCGTTTGATTCTGGTTCGGTGCTAGCAAATAAACTTTTCTTATTTGTCGAAACATCGGATGCTGTGTGGGGTTCATCTGTGGCATGGTCTCCATCAGAACAGCATGCAGCATCAAGAGCTTCGGGCAAGATCTTTCCATAAGAAACAGCTTCTGCCACAGACGGATATGTTGCATCAGATTCTTCTGGCGAGTTCTTAACATCCGGAACAGTTTCTGACAAAGATGGATATGCGTTGAAATGTTCTTCCGGAGAGATTATTTCATCGGGAATGGCTTTTGCCAGAGACAGATCCATGACAAAAGGTTCTTCAGGTAAGAACACCTCATCAGGAAAAGCTTCTGCTGACAAAGAATCCAAGGCAATAGATTCTTCTGATGATGTGTTTTTGTGAGGAACAGCTTCTGTGAGATATGGGTGCATGACAATAGGTTCTTCTGGAGAGAACCTTTCATCAAGAAAAGCTTCTGCTGACGATGGATACATCGGAGCAGGTTCTTCCACAGAGAAATTTTCATGAGGAAATACAACTGCCAAAGGCAGTTCCGTGGCAGCAGGTTCGTCTGGAGATTCATGGGGAAAAGCTTCTGTCAACAATGGATATGTGGCAACAGGTTCTTTTGATGACATCTTTTTGAGAGGAATAGCTTCTGTCAGAGAGGGAGACATGGTGAAAGATTCTTCAGACAAGATCCTTTCATAAACCGAAGCTTCTGCTGACAACAGACACGTAGTAATAGGTCCTCCCAGAGAGACTTCTTCCTGAGGAATGGCTTTTGCCAGAGACTGATCCATATCAACAGGTTTTGGCGATTCATCGGGAAAAACTTCTGCCAACAATGGATACACGGCAACAAGTTTTCCTGGTGAGATATCTTTGTGAGGAACAGCTTCTGCCAGAGAAGAATACATAGGGACAGATTCTTCCGGTGAGATACTTTCATCTGAGTACATTCCTTCTGGTAACAGATTAGCGGCAACAGGTTCTTCTTGCAAAATCTCTCCAGCAGGATCAGCTTCTGCCAATGACGAACAGAAAGCACCAACAGAGTCCCAAGGCTCTTGAAAATTCTTCTCACTACTCATGGTATCCTCTAGCACTGGAACTGACAAAGAATGGGAAGCTTCTTTGTTTCCTTGAAGGTAAGAAATAGAACAAGATTTATCATCGGAGTGATCATGTTCCGGGTCCTGTGCTATATGCCCAAATGGTGAATCTGCTGATTCATCATTGTTCTCCTTTCTGACATCTTCTGAACAATGCTCCAGTTTCTGTGTTGGTTGGACATCGAAATCATTGTCAGATTCTGATTCAATTGTGTTACGTGCATCTGCATACTCATCAGCTTCACTCCTAGATTCTGTTTCACTCCCTCGTTCGCTCTGATTTTCTCCTTCGCTCTCACTTTGTGGTATTGTTTCAACCTTGCTGAGCTGTCTCCTATAGGGTACTTGTTCCACAGTATAGACATCATCAAACAGGATATCCGTCCTAGCCAAGCCCCTTTGACTTTTTGTGTCATTGTCTGGCGTTCCTGGGCCAAATTTGGAATCAAGTATCTCTGTAGATTCTTCATCTTCAATTTTTTGCTCAGACAATGAGTCTGGTGTTTTCTTCTCCTCCCAAGCATTGGAAGGGGCAAAAGGCACAGGCTGTTCACCAGAGGGGTTATATTGGATATTATCTTCTATGGCGTCCTTGCACTCATCTGAACATGTGCTATCAGCATGTTGTGGAGACATGGGCAACAATCCCTCTGAAAGCTGTTCCTCATGCTCACTTGTTGGACTTTTGTGGATGAAATACTCAATATAGCCTGAATCATTTCTAGAATCATGAATTTTAGATGGTTCTTGGACATCAGATTGTACTCGTTCATCAGGTTGTTCTTGTGCATCCGATGGTCCTTGCAGATGAGGTTGTCCTGGCTCATCAGATAGTTCCTGCATGTTAGACGTACAAGCCATGCCATTTGTGGAGGTACTCTGAGAAGTAGTCTGTCTGTCATCGGTTAGAGAACTAGGACATGTCCTGCATGAAGAGATAGGTAAAGAAAAAGCAACCAAAAGTCACCGCAAATGTAAAATATGAGTGGATGGGAATTGATAAAACAACTTATTTCAAGTCACCCACCCACTAGTTTCCTCTGATGTAGACGCTAGACGTGACTTGGGTATCTTCCTGTGCGATAGCCTCCCCTTCTATCATTTCAAAGACGCGATTCAGATACAATACAGAAGGAATTCAAGGAAACAAAAGAATGAAAAATCAGCGTAAATTTTCAACGCATTCCATTTCTCGATCAAAAGATTTTTCTACATGAGATCATGGTATCAAGTATGTAGATAAAGATGCTAAAGTTTTTACCAATTTCTTATGCAGCCAGTATAGCCTAAACTCAAAAAGGAAATTACGAACCTTGCTTTTACGGAAACCCTTATCCCTTTGGACCTTAATATCATTTGCTACAATGGGGTTACTTGATTCCTTTCTAAAGAAGGTTGGATCAGAGTATCTCCTTAGACACGATCCTGGACCACCTGCATCAAATCTGCAAGATGGAGCAATTTCAGAATAAACAAACAAATATGCAACATTTTATCTACAATAAGCATAAGAAAGAAAACTTGTTGACCCCTACTTATCAAGCAAGTGCAAGCGTGGAGGATCTCTGCATTGTTCATATGACTCCATAACAAACAATGGCAAATCACTGTCGATAAAATGACTCTGCCCATTCTGTATACGAGGATGCCACTCGCAGCCTACGGCGGGAATAAACAGAAAAAATGATGAAAAGAATATCATACAGAAGATGGCAATTAAATCTCCCACAGAGTGGAGGAAATCCTTCAATTAAAATCCATCTGTGTACGTGAAAGTGGCAGAGGATCAATAATTGATATGGTGAGTATAGCACAAAGAGAAACACACTGGAGATATAGAGACAAGCAATACCTGCCAAAATTTGAAAATAAAGCTAGAAGCCTATAGATGAGAAGGAAAAACATACCGGCTGTATAAGCAAAATGTATGTGGCTTGTCTGTGACAGTACGGCCTTCTCAAGAGGAGACAATGCAGATTCTATTCGCCGAACACGTTTTGTCAGTTTCTGACTCCGAGAAGCTGTAATTGTGACTTGCTCCTGTATGCCATAAAACACTTCGGCAGCAAATCTACATGTAAAAAAGGGCCCCTGGTTAAAGAACTCTCCATCAGTTTGTATTCACTTACATAAAACATCAAAAAAAATTATGTATCATGAAATACCAATACAGAATCAAGAATCAACAAGGATTCCAGGCGTTTCTCTTTTAGGTGACAAAAGTGTATTCCTAAACAAGACATATGACATGACAATTAACCTCCCAGCTTGAACAACCAGGACCAGTTTTTTTTTCTTTCCATTAGCTCATTCCTGTTAACAAACTTCGATTTCTCATCATTTACATATCAAATGAACTAAAATTTTGGTCACTTGAAATTAGATGGCATACTGTATACATCGTCATTAAGATTCAATCATTGGGGAGCGACAACAAGCACCAGCTTTATCACAAACCCGGTAGAGCTAGGAAAAAATAGCACAGTGAAAGATTTTAGTACTCTGGACTCCCATTCCAGTCATTAATCACAAGTTATTTTTTATCAAAATAATTTGCAAGAGCTAGAACCCACTTGACATTTTTTTCCTCAAATCAATCATCCACTGACTCTAAGAACTGAGCTTGCTCAAAGTAGTTCGACATTTTTCTATGCTCAGAATAAACCCTAGACCTACCAAATCAAATACAGGAGGGACGAGAATATCTAATACTCAAACAATCGAGCTAACAAACATCCTTGCGCCCAATTCGTTCAAACTTATTCATAATCCATGAGCTGAGAAGTCTGAATTCCAACTTCGTTCTGAATCGATGAACCTCTCACTCTCACCCACACAACAACGCTATCTAGCAGGGAATGAAAACATAGCAGCAGACACATCAATCAATCCCTAGATACGGAGTTCAAATCCAGCACAAAATACTAGCGAAGCCACAAAGAATCCATACTAGATGGAGAAGCGATACATACTCGGCAAGGTCGCCCAACTGGCGAAGGATTCCAACGAGTCCGGCCACCGCAACGCCGCCGAGAACCGCCTTTGGATCCTCATCTTCGACGGTGCCGTTTCCGTACAGCTCCGGCCGTCCCAAGCCGAACTCGTTCCGCACCTTCAACCTCACCAACGGCATTACCTCGCTCTCGCTCTCGCTCGCTTCACAGGAAATGAAACCCAAACTTCATATCCTTGGTAATTAATGAACACTAAAAAAACGGCTGAAATCTTTTTTGTTTTCTTTTTTGGCCATTTGGATTAACGGAATTCTTGGTATTTCTTTTTTTTTGTGAAGAAATTTATTGGTTTATTTCAAATCCATTTATTTATTTAATAATTACGATAAATTACTGAAACCGCCCTTTGTCTTGGAATATATAATCACTCGAATTAACAAAAACATGAAATTTCAATATTGATTGAACTGATTAACGAAAGAAATAAGGTGTATTTTTGGGACATAATTAAAGTTGAAGAATATAATTAAGGTAGCTAAAGCAGATTCCTAGGTGTGTTTTGCTGGAATCACCTTTCCAATATATTTTTTCTCATTTTCTTTTTCGTAATTTTAAAACCTTGCATATAATTGGGCCTTAAGAATGGGCCTCAAAAGAGGTTACATTTGGGCCTTATGAATTGGCCCAAAAGCTGGCTCTTCTTGACGGTGTAACTAAAAATATCTGAGGGAATTCTATTGATATTAAAAAAAAAAAAAATTATAGTGTAGACTTTTCCGAATGTTATACAAAACATTTTTTGTGGTTGTGATTAACCGGATGTTTTGTAGTAAGTTTCAAACTAATTTCGATATTAACCAAACCGTATTATTAAATTATGTTTTTATTTAAGATTCGAATTCGAAAACCGATTGAACTATTCAATTTAGATAACTCTAACAGAACATACGTGGAGATTATGGATTACTCGGGAATTAAGAAGTCATATTAACTCGAAATTTCTTGTGATTATTTACAATCACGTATATTAGGTGATTATTGGCAGTCACGTGTATTATGTGATTACTTGCAATTACATATATATATATATATGTGTGTGTGTGTGTGTCACGGAATACAACATCATCTATGTTAAACGATATAATCATAAAATAAATAATAATGATGGTGATTTAGTGGGCAAAATTGCAAAAATAACCCCAAATGTCTATCTTTACTTCAAGGGATGACCTTCTAGGTTTAAGGTTTTCAAAAAAAAAAATTAAAATGACGAAAAGACTAGTTTGCCCTTAAAAAATTGAATACGTGGCAATTCTTTATATAGTGAAAAAACCTTCAAAAAATTTATTCTCTCACTTTTTTTAAAAATTCGAAACGTATTTTTTTTCTTTCTCTCTCCAAAGAAATGTCGTTGGCAATTCTAACAACAAATTTCTCAATTTTCATCTTACATTCGATGTATTTTCTCTACTATGACGAGATTTTACATTCCAAAATTGAAAAAACTGAGAATACATGGAAAGTGTTCGATAAAAATCCTCATAGAAATTTTGGCTCTTAAAATGTCATACTGGTCATATCGGTCAGACTTTGGTCATACCGATCAGATTTTGGTCAGACATTCACAATTTGGTCTGCCGGTCACACTTTGAGTGAATATGATTTATGTTGAGAGATTTTTTTTATATATGGAATTAGATCACCAAAACGACGAAATGTATTCTTGTAACCCTTATACAACTTTTTGAATCATTTAAACTTAATTTAGACCTTTATTTTTCGTGTAAAAATGGTCATACCGGTCACACTATAAGACGGTCAGACATTGGTCATACAGTCAGAATTTGGTCAAACTTCTTGAAAATTGATGAATTTATCATTTAAAAAGTGTTAATATGGTATAATAATAATAATCTCATATAACACGTTTTTTAAATTTAAAAACGGTCAGACGGTTAGACTTTAGTCAAACCGATGATACTTTGGTAAGACGATCAGACTTTGGTCATACGGTCAGACTTTGGTCATACCGATCATATTTGATCATATCATTAGACTGGTCATAAGATTATACGAGCCAGACTAGTAAGATTTTTTCAAAAATGATGAATTTACGAATTTAAAAGTATAGATCAAACGTGTTTTTCTTATATTGAATTTTGGCTTATTAGGGTTTCACTTCGATTCGATTCGAATGAACAATATCATTTAAGCTTAGACTCGTCAAACTTTTACTCTAGAACGAGATCCGACACACCAAAGTTAAAGAATTTGAGAATGCATGGAAAGTGTTTGATGAAAATACTCAGAGAAATTTTGGTTATCGAAATGTCACATCGGTCAAACCGATCTGATTGTGCTCATGGTGCCAAGAACAACGATGTCATCAACAACTCCTTCTAAAGAAACCTAAAGTAATAGTAGTGTTTATGTAACACATCGAGTACAATTGACTTATGTCGAGAGATTTTTTTTTCCACGTGAAATTAGAACTCCAAAACGATGTAAAAATAATCTTATAATCCTATACAACTTTTTGAATCGTTTAGATTTAATTTAGGCATTTTTTTCGTACCTAAATGGTTAGACGGTCATACGGTCATACCTTGGTCAGACGGTCAGACTTGTTCGAAATTGCATAATTCATCGTTTTAAAAGTGTTAACATTGTAATAATCACATCATATCACAAATATTTCAAGTTCAAATCGGTCGTAACAATATGGATTGAGTACATTTTTTGTTTGTCAATGTAACTCATTCCAAAGAAGGCCTAAAGTAATAGTAATGTTTGTGTAACACATTGAGTACAATTGAATTATGTCGAGAGATTTTTTTTTTCACGTGAAATTAGAACTCCAAAACGATGCAAAAGTAATCTTATAATCCCTATACAACTTTTTGAATCGTTTAGATTTAATTTAGGCATTTTTTTCGTACCGAAATGGTCAGACGGTCATACGGTCATACGGTCATACCTTGGTCAGACGAGACGGTCAGACTTGTTCAAAATTGCAGAATTCATCGTTTTAAAAGTGTTAATATTGTAATAATCATATCATATCACAAATATTTCAAGTTCAAATCGGTCGTAGCAATATGGATTGACGTCTAACCATTTAGGTACGAAAAAAATGCCTAAATTAAATCTAAACGATTCAAAAAGTTGTATAGGATTATAAGATTACTTTTGCATCGTTTTGGAGTTCTAATTTCACGTGGAAAAAAAATCTCTCGACATAAGTCAATTGTACTCGATGTGTTACATAAACACTACTATTACTTTAGGTTTCTTTAGAAGGAGTTGTTGATGACATCGTTGTTCTTGGCACCATGAGCACAATCAGATCGGTTTGACCGATGTGACATTTCGATAACCAAAATTTCTCTGAGGATTTTCATCAAACACTTTCCATGCATTCTCAAATTCTTTAACTTTGGTGTGTCGGATCTCGTTCTAGAGTAAAAGTTTGACGAGTCTAAGCTTAAATGATATTGTTCATTCGAATCGAATCGAAGTGAAACCCTAATAAGCCAAAATTCAATATAAGAAAAACACGTTTGATCTATACTTTTAAATTCGTAAATTCATCATTTTTGAAAAAATCTGACTGTCTGGCTCGTATAATCTTATGACCAGTCTAATGATATGATCAAATATGATCGGTATGACCAAAGTCTGACCGTATGACCAAAGTCTGATCGTCTTACCAAAGTATCATCGGTTTGACTAAAGTCTAACCGTCTGACCGATTTTAAATTTAAAAAACGTGTTATATGAGATTATTATTATACCATATTAACACTTTTTAAATGATAAATTCATCAATTTTCAAGAAGTCTGTATACAACTTTTTGAATCATTTAGATTTAATTTATGCATTTTTTTCGTACCTAAATGGTCAGACGGTCATACGGTCAAACGGTCATACCTTGGTTAGACGGTCAGACTTGTTCAAAATTGCATAATTCATCGTTTTAAAAGTGTTAATATTGTAATAATTATATCATATCACAAATATTTCAAGTTCAAATTGGTCGTAGCAATATGGATTGAGTACATTTTTTGTTTGTGCAATGTAACTCCTTCCAAAGAAGACCTAAAGTAATAGTAATGTTTGTGTAACACATTGAGTACAATTGACTTATGTCGAGAGATTTTTTTTCACGTGAAATTAGAACTCCAAAACGATGCAAAAGTAATCTTATAACCCCTATACAACTTTTTGAATCATTTAGATTTAATTTATGCATTTTTTTTCGTACCCAAATGGTCATACGGTCATACCTTGGTCAGACGGTAATACTTGTTCGAAATCGCATAATCCATCGTTTTAAAAGTGTTAACAAAGTAATAATAATATCATATCACAAATTTTATGAGTATGGTCAGTTTGACCAATTTGATGATTATGATCAGTATTACCAATTTTGCGAATATGAACAGTTTGACCAATTTGACAAGTATGACCAGTTTAGGAGTATGACCAGTTGACCATTTCGACACGTATGTATGACCAGTTTACTGAATTTTTCCATTTTGACGAATTTCACAAATTTAACGATTTCGACCAGTTTGAGTCACGTGAATCATGGTATTGCTGATAAATATGTCATATTTGTTTCATCTGTATCATATGAATTAAATATAAAGATGACAAAAACAAATCACAAATGCCCACACTTAATAATGTATATTAGAAAAATACTTATCGATTATTCATATATGTGTTTAATCGATGAATTGTCTCAAGCTTTTGCTTGTTTTTCACAATAAATTAGCTGAAAAAAAGGCTGTAGATGAAGAGAGTTTAGAGACAGAGAACGTTTGAGAGGAGAGAGAGAGTTTGCAGGTTCGACATATGCGAACGGAGGAAGAGAGAGAGAGCTGGGAGAGGAGAGAGAGAGCTGAAATATTTTCATTTTAAATTTAATAATAATTAAAAAGGTAAGGGTATTTTTGGAAAGATACAATTATAAGGTTAGAAGATGATGATATTTTTTTTTATAAAAAAGGCAGGGTCATGCCGTGAAGTAAAAATGACATTTAAAGTCATTTTTGCAATTCTCCCGATTTAGTGTATATTTATGAACATTTTTACATGAAAATATACAATTTAAATAAGAGTTTTTGGGTACGGAGGGATGTGGGGTCCGTTTTCACGTGGATTGGCGGAGAGGACTTTCCCTTATATCGAACTAAGGAATAATATTTTTGTCCAAACGTATGAATTTGTTGTTTTCTAATTAAAAGGCTCCGTTTCGTATTAAGTTATATGAAAAAAGAAATCTCAAAAGAATGAAAACAAATGGGGAAAAGAAAAGGAATAAACCTCTTCCTTGGTAATTTTTGCTTTGTTCAGTTCTTATTGATATTCATACATATTTATCCTTGTAAATCGTAAAATAACCCTTGTAACCAAATAAATTTAAATAAATAATATGTTTTTAATAGAATTTATAATATAATAAAAAATATTGATATGTAAACACCAACAAAGATTTGTAGTTTCATGGAAAGAAAACGCACTAAAAAATTATGGTGAGGCGAACAATAATCAAGTACCATACTTCAGGTAAATGCAGTGTTGTTGGTTTTTTTTTCAAAAACGCTAAACAAAACTATAGAACGTAAGGGTTGGCGTTTCGGAAATCTTTTCGGGTTTGGGACAGAAATGCATCGGTTCGAGTTTTTCGGTTTTATAAAAATAGATATCAAACGATTTTTATATTATGTTCGGTTCAGGTCGGTTTTGGTTTCGGTTCGATTCGGTTCTATTTTTTTAAGATAGATTTTCTTTAAAAAAATTCAGTTTTTCGAGATTTTTTAAAATTCAGTTCGGAAAATTTGGTTTCATAAAAATAGTACCGTTCGATTTTTCTATTCGGCTCAGTTCAGAAAAACTCGCCCTGAAAGAAAATTTTAACCCTAAAAGAAAATATGCGAAAATAGGATAAAATAAAAATATATATATAGTGTAATAGTAATACCAGGTGAAACATAAGGACCCATGTCCACGTGATTGGATTTTTTTGGTCTCGAGTGGATTTTTTTAAAAAATATGGCAGAGTAAAGAAGATTGTACCACGCAGGATCTTCTCCGACGTTATCTTTGTCCGAAAGCTTTCAGTGTTATTCTCATCGTCGGATTCTGGTTCTCCGGTCACCGGAATCTAGTATGTTCCGTCGACCAGTCGTTAAGGGCACCTTCATGGCATGCATGTTTATACCATATGTCTTACAATTTACGACTTTTTTTTATATATAATTTATTATTTTCATGCTTGGACTTGCACATTTTTAAAATTGTAAAGCAAATTGCAAATATATGTAAATAAGGTTTCCATTTGCGAATCGTATTTAACCATCTACGACGTCGAAATGTCTCCCCATTTGTGTAATAATTAATAATGCCCTATCACATTAAATGATGTTCACTATGATTAAAATAACGAAGGTACCTGTAAATAACTGTGCTGTGTAGTTCTAGTAGTATATATATATATATAGTATATATATAGTATATATATAGTATATATATATATATATATAATATAATATGCGGTAGAAATATGGAGATGGATAGTGGAAATCATGATTTTATGGGTCTTCCACTTTAAGACACGGTTATGCTTAATCAATCACTCATAATGACAAAAAAGATTTATGTTTCCTTCTTTACCAAAAACCAAAGATTTATGTTTCCTAAATTGTTTGAAAATAGATACCTTTAAAATTTTAAAACAATTTCGAAAGGTTCATACATATCTTACATTTATATTAGCCTAAATAAAAGTTTTGATGTAACGATATATGTATAGACTAATATATACGATATAAATTTTATACGGAATATATATATATATATATATATATACTGTAAAAATTGTTTTTTGGATTCCATTTGAATGGTTAAATCTTCTTTTTATACCAGTCAGTAAACTTTCATTACTTTAACACTATATTACAACCCATTTAAATTAGTAAATATTTTATCAAATAGAAAATTATCATAATCTTTTATATCGATTACAAAATTACCGACATTTTTTGCCAGTTCTATATCAGATCACAACTTATGTAGCACAGGATCTTTATCAAAATCAAACAGTTGAATCAAATGAAATATATTATCCTACTAGATACAAGAACTTTACAGTATGTTTGTTAGTTATTATTATTATTATTATTGTTGTTGTTGTTGTTATAGGCTGTATGATTCAACTAGCCACTAAGACAAGCAAGTTGGACAATTAACTAATAATAATTATAAAACTTAAAATGCCACATTAATACAGACGAGTGATTTGCGTTACAAATCGTACAATTAGTAGCGTAAAATAATATTTGCGGAATTTAAAAATGAGAATCAATCATAATAGTGCGAATATCGCTCCACGTATGATTTTTTTTAAAGAGCCACCTTCTCGTGGGGCCCCCGTAAGGACATGTCTTCTCAGTCGTAGTGCAAGCCCCACCAATTTAATATATTCTTTTAAAATCTCTTTTTTTGTTAAAAACATTATATTATTACATAGCCCGTATTAAAATGATTCTATGATATCACATATATATATATATATATATTGATTATCAAATGTCGTGTGAACGTAAAATAGACTAGATCTGAGAAAAGTAAGTCACTGATTTTGTCACTATAACATCTATATTTTTTTTGTGAAAGATAATTAATTGTAAAAGAAGCAATAAATCGAAAAATACTTTGAAATTCAATGAAATGATCGGATTATGGTCAAACATGTTTTATATCTAGGACCTCATTTTTCAATAACCTCT